AAAAGAAAAGGCTGTAAAAATTACTAAGAATCCAACTGGACTTGTTTGCTGGAAAAAGCTTTTCTGAGGCTTGGCTGGATGAAAGGTGAGGTGCATAGGAAAGGCCAATTGAGTGCAAATATCCAAATTAAAAAAAAAAAAAAAGACAGGCTGTGATGCTCACTGACAACCTGAACACATGCTGTTCGTCATCCTCATTAAGTGCTATTTATAGAAAACAAAGTGAGCGTATTGGGACGAACAAAGCACTGGCTTCACAGAGGAGGCGAAAGATTGTTGAATGAATACGTAGATGGACACGGGAAAGGATAAAAAGGTGAACAGTAAACCACTAGCACGAGAAAGCAGAGACCAACCTGTTCAGTTTCTTATTTCCTCAGTCGTACTTCCAAAAGTAGCAACCTTTTTTCTCCTCATTTTCCTTCCCAGATTTCAAAAGAAGATCCATGACAGAAAACATTAATTAGGAGTCTCTTATGGATTTCAGTAAAGGAAGTTCTCTTTACATGGCAACATTTTTAAATTAAATACTTACACTGAGGATAATATTATCATTTGAACTGTATGCTTCAGAAATATAACCTACAATACAGTAAAAAAGGCAGTACTCTCAAAGTGGCCCAGAAGGTGATCAGTAAAAGCACACAAAACATCATCTCAGGGGCACTTCAGATTATCACCTGGAGGAGCCCGCTAGCAAAAATCAAATACAATCCATGTTACACAGAAGAAATAAATGAAATACACTAAATCGCTGTAGTGAAGCTAGAATTATTTGCCGATATCAGCTCAAGGTGCTCTTTGCACTCCTCATTTGTGACTCTGACGGAAAGATTTTCGAATGTATTGGTGCTGGAGGAGTGGTGGCCCAGGCCAGCATGTTTCATCCATTTCTATAACACCACAAAGGGGAAATGGAGGGTGCTGGACATATTTGGAATCACAGGATCATTCAGGTTGGGACAGACTGCTGGAGGACAACGGGGTCCAACGCCCTGCTCAAAGCAAGGCCAGCTGTGAAGTTAGATGAGGTTCATCAGTCTGTTGTCCAAACAAGTTTGGAATATTGACCGGGATGCCACAACAGCACTGGGCAACCTCTCCCAGCACCCAACCACTGCCACGTCCAGAATAGTTTCCATCACATCCAACAGGAATTTACCTTACGACCACTAGCGGCTCTAGTCCTTTTACTGTGCACCTCTGAGGAGTGTCTGGCTCCACCTTCTGTTTTTGAAGGCATCGTCAAGATCCCGCACCCCCTTCACACCCCAAGGCTTCTCATTTCCAGTCTGGAGTAACGCGGCTCCAGCTGGATTTTGCGCTGCTAACCGATACTCGTTGACATGGGTTGTGGTCTGCAGCGTAGACTCATAGTCTGCTTGTTGATGGGGGATGTTTTCAGCAGAATTTGGGACTTCACATTACTTTTTAATTTAGTGTGTCTTTTTATTAATTTTGTGGGGTTTTTATAATTACAAACCTAGATTTCATTTCTTTTAATAATTTATCCCCCTACCAGAATTTACAGTATTTCAAAACTCTGTTATGCTTTCCTTTCCAAAGGTATACATGAGAGTGCCGATTAAGTCTGCCATATCCCTCTCCATTTTCATTTGAATAGTCATCAGGAGAAAAGGTCCCCTGTCTGAGACGGCAATGACAGTTCAGCTGTAGCACTGTAGAAGAAGGTGGACAGTGGCACAGTTCCCTCCCTCATCCCATGGGAAAGAAACCGGAGTGTCTCTCTGCAAGCCACTAGCAGAAAGATAGGTCAGCAAGTCAAAATTGCTGACATGAGAAGTGTTTGGAGGCTCCTGTGCACTGAAGTGAGCAGTGCAGACTGTTTTCCTTTCTGTGTATTTGTGACGTATAATATGTCCCAGATTTTGAAACAGGACCGTGCAGTTCCGATGATGAACCAGGGGAATTATGCAGCTCACTCCTCACGACTCTAATAACTTTGGATGATTGTTTCACATGATTCACTTGGAGCCCTTTTCTGATCCTCATCGTGAAAGAATTAAAAAAAAAAAAAAAAAGCCAGAAATGGATCATATGTTTAAGTGTCAAAAACATCTCTATGCTTTGCAGAAACAGGGAAACAAGGAAATCAATAAAATATTCTTTTGTCTATCATAGAAAGTGTCAAAATTCAGAGGAATGCACTACAAAAACCTGTAAACTGCATTAAAGTTCTGACATAAATTTTGTGTAAGTCCACATTGCATATTATTTGCCTTTAACAAAACTTTTCGATAATCTCAGAATGCTTAACTACCCTAGTGCAGTTCTCAATATGTTTGGTGTTACATTTAAAAGATTTCATTTGTCAAAGTTTTCATGTGTTATTAAAATCATTGCTTGGATGTGGTACAGTTTGTATTAAAGGATAATATTCAAACTAAACATACAGCTTTTTAACAGATGTTTAATTACAGCAGCTTCTCAAATTCCAAAATCGTTTGTGGACCTCTTGTTATTTCAGATGAAACTACTTACATACAAACTCGGGCTACTTTGGCCCATTATCTTTTCGCTATTGTGGGGCAAGATGAAGCTGGCAGCAGTTTTAGCCAAAAAGAGTCGGTTCCTCATCGTTGGTTCTGAAACAAGCTGACCAAAACACTCTAAACCAAACGAGTAACAGATAGAAAAAGAATAACAATTCGAGGGTTTTTTTAAAGTTCTTTAAACAAAATACCGCTAATTCAAAGTGTAACCTCAGAACTCACCTCTTGCCTGCAGCCTTAACTTTTTCACTCTTTGCACTCTCCAGCAAGTTGTCCAAGTTTGATTTACTCTCTTATAAATATACAAAAAGGCAGTTATTTATTGTTCAACTGCTGCTTTATTAAAGAAAGCTCTTGTTCTCACACTCCTAACTATCTATGTGCTGGAAAGCTTCAGCTTGGAGCGGAGGTGCAAGTCTTGGTTAACAAAGGTAAAACCAGTCAGTAAACCCCTATGGACTGAAATACAGTTCTATTATTAGAAAACTGAAAGTAGTTTTGGTACTTTTTGACATTATCTTAGGTTCAACAACGTCCCAACACCATCTCTTCTCCATCTTCCTGAGATGGGTGAAGCCTGCTGTTTTTTGATCGCGTCAAAGTCACTCGTGAAATACCAGAGGGACAGGCGGAATGCTTCTCCCACCCTTGGTGAGACTCACCCCTTGGTATGGGACAACCACACTGGACTCAGAGGGACTTCAAGAAGCGCACTGGGCTTGTGCTGCTCCTCTGCAGGGAGAATTATTTAATTTCCACAGTGATACTGTGAATGAACCCCAAAAGTGTAATTTTACATCACCGCTGTGCTTCTTAAAGCACATTTTCTGAATAAAAAGCTAGTAAAAGTGAAGATGAAGGAGTGGAAATTAGAAAGAGAGAAAAGACGAAAGGTTTCCAATAACACACACTAAAGATTTTAAATAAATATTTTAATTCTATTATTGGCATTTACAGGTAGAAAGCATACAGTATGTTACAATTTTATCAAAATGTGAAAAATATGGATGTTACATAAGTAACAAATGTAAAAAAAGTATTTTTCTTACCTTCCCTGAAAGTAAGAAAACTATTCAGCATAGGAAAATATTGATATAAAAACACAGCTTAGGTAAAAAAAAAAGTTTTTACACAGTACAATAGGTTCATCAGGTCTGCATGAAGGTTTAAGGACTTTGTGAGGTTCTACTTTACCTAAAACTTTAGGGAATTTGGGACAAACAGTAAGCTACATTAATGAATCTACAAGTAGTTTTCCCTCATATCCGCTCCAAAATGCTAGAGTGCAGTAATTTTCTATACAATAAATAATTCTTCAAAGTTTCCATCATAGAAAATCATATAATGCAGAAAATGTCACTCCAAGGTCACAAAGGCTAGGCAGTGCTTTAATAATAATTATGATAATACTTATTATAGTGCTTTATAAAGTCTAAGCACTTCAGACGAGTTAACTAATTAGTCCTCACGACACCCCTGTGAGGTAGGCAGCAAGTGTTACTCCTACCTTTCCGTAGCACAGATGGGAAAATGAAATGTGGGGAGAAGCACAGACTGCAGCAGCAGCAGCAGAGCCGAGCTGGGAGGCCAAGAGACGTGGAAAATCGAGGTGGGGTTCCCCCCCCCCCCCCCCGGATGATGCTGCTGCGTGCCAGGCTGGGCTGACAAACGCCGATCGCTCCCCTCCCACTGGAAAGCACTGAGGGGGGTGGGCAGGGACCAGGGTGAAGCATCCCCAAATATTTCATAGAGATTCAGAAGCTCTCACACAACTTTGTCAAAAAACGAAACAAAAAAAAAAAAAAGGGGGGGGGGGGGAAGGGAAAAAAAAAAGGCCAAACAAATAAACAAGCGGAAAATAAAAAAAAAACCTCCTAAAGTGCTGACTGGCTTGAGCTGCTTCTAGCACCTCTTGTATGGAATAAGACTTACAGCACTGTTGCCAGCAATTATTTAAGCTGATTTCGTCCATGAAGTTACACATGAGCAACTGCAGGATATGGTAACTACGTTTTCTGAGACACCTTACTACTGTAATTCCTTCATTCACCATCCTTCTTCCATGCACTTCTTAAGGAAACTTAAATCCTCAATACTCTGGCATCGTAAAACATGTTAGTAGCTGGAGACAATATGCACATCCTTCACAATTCAAAAAAAAAAAAAATTAGTTCATTTTCAGAACAAAGCATTATTAATTTAAGAATCACAAACCAACCAATGGTAAATAGGGAACCCTTTTCAAAGGCTGCATGCCGAATATCTTGCTTTCAAATACAATGCATGCAGGAGAAATAAATTCATCCAAGCGTAATTAAATTAAAAACCTTTTAAGTCTCTTTCAGCAGCATAATGGTTATTATTTTTAAAGTCTCCTCCAACCAAACTGGCCTGGGGTTCAAATGCTGACCTTTGCTTTTCTACAACCATATAATGGTTTGACCGGTCCCCGTGGTTTTGCACCGCAGCAATACCAGGAGATAAAGCCTATACATACTGTTCTGCTTCCCCATCCTTGGAAACAGGCTTTGTTGTACCACCTTTGCCGTCTTCGCTCGCTGCTGCTGCTGCTGCTGTTTTTTCAGGAAGTGATGCCAAATCTTTGAAAACATCCACATAATGCCCAAAGCCCGGGCCCCAGTTCAAGAGGTTGTCCCAGTTGAAGCTTCCCGCTTGCTGCCCCAGCTTCACGGGCAGGGAGCTCTCCCCGGCGCTGGCGGCGGTCGCCTGTGCCCCCACCGGTCCCCCCTCACCTCGGCGGCCAGGGTACCGCCGGGGCTTCAGCCTGGCACCGTAGTTGTCCTCGTCATCCGCATCGGACTCGTTGACCTGGGATAACTTGGGCATCCTAGAGGTGTACGCTATGGGCTTATCCCTGTCGTACTCCATCTCTGAGCAGGTGAAGGACTCGTGGGAGTCGCTGTCGGAGGAGGACTCGGGTGCGGGAATACCATCGGCCGGGTTCCTTGTCCGGGACAGAGGCCTTCTGCAGTCCTCCTCAGAAGAGGACCGGCCATGGTCTGCGCTGCAGATGCTGGGGTTTCTGGGGCGAGGGGTGTTCAGTCTCTCCACCTCTTCGATGGACAGCCCCACCGGAGGAGCAGACTCCAGAGGGATCTGCCCGATAGGCTGCTTCAGGCGGCTTCCCGGTCGGGAACCGTGGCTCGCCATGGTCTGCGGACTCTTACTTCTCCTCCCCAGCCGAGTGGCGTAGTTAAAAATGCCGGGCTGGCAGACATCGTTGTGCATCTCCAGCGGGCTCCCTTCCCTTATGGCAAGGTGTAGCTCCCTCGCCGGACTGTGCCTGTAGAAAGTGGACGATTTGGAGAAGGGTGCGGGGCTGTGCCGAGACAGGGGGTTGGGAGTAGGGCACGCTGAGTGGCTTAAAGAGGTTGTCCTCAAGCCTTGCCCATAGGCAGGCTGGTAGGTCAAGCTGCTGGCTCCCAGGGGCATGGGGGACTGCCGGGCAAAGCCCAGCGGGCTGTGCCTCTGGATGGAGAACTTGGGCGTGTGGCTCCGAAACTGCTTGTAGTGCTGGATGATGTCGGCGTCCGAGGGAGCGATGCTGCTGGCGTTGTCGATGTCGTAGTGCTCGATCTCGGGCTCGGGGGAAGCCAGCGGGGCGCTGGGGATCGTCTCCGTGGCGTGCGGGATGTCTGTTTCGTCGTAGATGAGATACGGGTTTTCTCTTTCGATGATATCGGGTTTTGGGTTCCCTTCGGGCTGCTTCCTGACCGTCATGTCATCGCCATAGGGCGGGATGTTGTCCGGGTCGTCAAACGCCACGTTCTCACTCCCTTTTTTCTTCTTCTCCTTTGTTTTCTTCTCCTCTTTTGGGGCTTTTGACTTCTTCCCCCGGCACTGGTTGCAGAGGATGAGGCTGAGGACCAGCAGCGCCAGGACTGTCGCGCAGCTCCCCACGATAGCTGGCACGGC